TCATGGTACTTGCCTCCATGAAAACATCCGGCCTCGTGACGCTGTGACCGGTGCCTTACGCTGTAGCCCACCCTTCTGACAGGACTTCCGCTGCTCAAGGACAGTGAATGTCGCCTTCTCCTGCTTATCCGGCGGGTAGCCGTGCTTGCGCAGGATGCGCTTGACCATCGCCCGAGCTTGGCGCGGACGTTCTCCCGCAACGTCCAGTCGATAGTGACGTTGTTCCGCACGGTGTCGACCAGTTCACGGGCTATGTCGCGGAGGGTTTCGTCGCCCAACACCTGCACCGCGCTGTCGTTGGTTTCCAGCGCGTCGTAGAAAGCCAACTCATCATCGCTCAGGCCCAGTTGCTCGCCGCGGGCGTTGGCCTCCCGCATCTCCTTAGCAAGCTGGATCAACTCCTCAATGACCTGCGCCGCCTCAATAGCCCGGTTCTGGTAGCGGCGTAGTAGCCAGGGTGGCCAGACGACGCGGCGGGCGGCGGCGTGACGACCTGAAGGATAGCGCCTACACGATGCCCCAGATCGTGATCGAGCAGGAGCCCGCGAGCTTCAGGCGCGTGGGGTTGTTGAGAGGCGGAAAAAGGTGTGTGTAGACAGACCAAAATGCGCAAACCTATATTATATAAGAGGGATTTAAGTTACCGCCATTTCGGTCTAGACCGCTATGGGGTACCCCTAGGGTCGGCAAGGGTGGTGGCGGCGGCGTCCTCGCCCTCGTCGAGCACGTCGAGCGTTTGGACCGGGCCGAGCCCTGGCCTTGGTTGCGAGAGCGGGGCCTGCTGGCAGGGGGGTGGCCCTGGTGGCCGGGTCGGCCTTGGCGCGCGCCGGGGGCGTCGGAGGCGGGCGGGCGCCATTCGAGGGGTACCGGACTCCGGCCCGACCCAGAGAATCGCTCTACGGGCCGCATAGGGTCTAGTGTTTCTCCGGCCGAACCGCTCCTCGAACAGGTAGTGGGATACGAGCTCCGAGAAGACGCGGGTACGCTTCCTCCGGCCGTCTCCCAGGATCCTGGCCACGGCCAGTCTCGTGTTGTCGTAGACGATGCTCCGGGGCACGCCCGCCCAGGAACGAGAACGCCGAGACGTGACCGTCGCAGAACGCCTCGGTCGTCTCTGCGGGGTAGGCCTTGACGAAGCATGCGTCGCTGTGGGGAAGGTCCAGCACGAAGTAGTGGATGGTCTGCTCCACTCCTCCGATGACCGCCTTGGCCTGGCCGAAGTCGCACTGGGCATCACCCGGAGGATGGGACAGCGGAACGTACATCTCGCGTGTCCGGCGGCGCCGCTCGCGCACGTAGTCCTTGACTATCGTGTACTTGCCACCGAACCCGTGCTCCGCTCTCAGACGCTCGTAGATCCGCTTCGCAGTGTGCCGCTGCTTCTTCGGAAGACTACGGTCCTTGCGGGTGACTGCCCTGCCGGGCCACTCGGAGATGGGCGGGTCGCCTCTCTGTGCGTACCGTGCCACCTCGGGCGGGTCGACGAGCTGGCCGGGCCCGGGCATGGGCGGGGCGGTGGCGTCGGCCAGTACCTTTCGGGCCTGCGTTTCGTCCATCATCTAGGGGGTACAAGGGCCTAGAACGAAATGGCGTCAACTCTAATCTCTCTTATATAATATAGTAGTGCATTTTGCATATACACACACACCCTCTTTTCCTCATCCTACACGCCGCTGCGTTGGTTCCTGCTCGATCACAATCTGAGGCATCGTGTACGCGCTGTCCTTCAGGTCATCACGTCTGCGCCCGCCCCCACGTCGTCTGTTCGCACGGGACTGCTGATGCCGTTCCTGCATCCCGTTGAAGACCTTCTGATACTTGTCATTCAGCACACCCGACAGGCTGCGCCCGCTTCCCAAGGTGAATCCTCTGCTGCGGCCGGCAGCGCGGCTGGCGGCATCACGCTTGGACATGCTCACACGGGTGTCTGTCTCGCTCGTCACCAGATCGTGCGAGAACCGCACGGACGCGCTCTCGCTCACAGGCCCGCCCTCCTGCTCGGCGCGGCGTTTGAGCTCCGCTGTACGTCTGCGGGCACGGCCTGTGCTGCGCTGTCGCCCGATTCCGCAGCCACTCCGGTAACGGGTAGGCGTGACCTCCCATGTCCCGATCTGCCGTTCCACAGCCTCCGGCGCCGAGGGGTCCCAGCCCGTGACGACCGGCTACTGGTCGCACCAGCTATTGGTCGCGAACTGTCCCGTTGCCTACGAGCCATGATCCTACCCCTACGGGTTTCGCCGGATCGTGCCTCCTGCTGGTTCGAGTCTTCTCCTCTTTTTCTCTTCATCGACGGAGTTCTCGTGTGCTCCAATCCACCAACAAATACGGTACTCTTGGGTAGTCGGATTTGGATGCAACCGGGGGGGGGGGCTGATAGTTACCAGCAGGCTGGGGAGCCACAGAACCTCCACCTTAGTTGATCGAAGAACAGGTCTGCCGGGACCGCCTCACCTCGCCGTCTCTTCTTCCTGTTTCCCACCACCTCAACTCCCGGGACCGCTCCAGGACATTGCGTCCAGCCGAGCCCTACCCTCAGACGGATGGTCGTCAACGACCATCACCCCTATGCGCTCGCTGGTGGCATCCGGTTGCACCCAAGCAAGTGTTCCCGCGTTCGTGGTAGTTGGCGAAAGCCTTACATGTTTGGTGTCGGTCTAATCCTATGGAGAGACGCTGTCGCAAAATCGCTGAGCATCGATGGTCCGTTGATTGTATTTACTCGAAGGGGACGAGGTACTCCAGCGTGTGCGTTCTCAGCACTGTAGGCGCATGCTCTTCTGGATCAACCCTCTCATCCAATCGTCTGCACTGCAAGGCTGCTCAGCGAATGTCGGCGACGTAGTTGTGGTAGTGGGTGTAGTCCACTCGTACTTGATTGACAGGACACGCCAGTCGGACTCATGCTTCCAAGCCCTCTGAGCAATTTTCTTTTCTTTGTTGCTCGAGAAGCTGAACGGTCATGGGGGTCCGTCGGGGGAAGTTTTCATTTGTCAAGCGCCAACCCCGCGGTAGTTAACGAAACAACCGCCCATCACACGGATCTTCAATTACTCTGCATAGTGCGGTGCCCAACACCGTCCGCCGTACGATGAAGAGTTGCTTCGCGGCTTCATGGGCTCAACCGCGACCCATGACCAGCCTGGGCGTCCCCCCTGACTTGTCCGAGATCAACGGCCTCCAAAGAGCCTCCCCTAATGATGTCGTCATCTTGGTAGTGACTACCAAAAGTAATCGCACCCCAAGGAAAAAGCCATCTGACGCAAGGCCAGCTGCAACCCGAGCTAGAGCATCAGGATTTCCAAGCCAATCTCTCCGTCATCATGTACTGAATCGCGGAGCGGATAAGCTACGACATATTTCCGTGAAACTTTCATGTCGAAGATTGGGACGTAATAGATCCGTAGGCCGTTCTTGGCCTCACGTACTATTAGTAAGCTTGTCAGGGAGCGCGTAAAATCTTTTTAAGATACTCGTCCCCCGTGTCCTGCCGGAAAGCGCGCGCGTCTCAGCACGAACCCGAGAAGATCCGGCGTAGCATCCGATTTTTCGACGTAGGGAGGGCGACTGAGGATCCCAAAGCTTGGCATCATCTAACCCCTTCCGCCACCCCTCCCGTGGACAAGGGCACGTGATAAATATGTCAAGGAATTATAAGGCAGCGCGCAACCAGTCAGGCAATTCAAATCTGGAGCCCTAAATTCAACACCGCTAGGAAATAGCTCAGGCAGCCTGGAGTGAATGGAAATCGGCCGAGTAACCTCTCTAACCCACATTTCCCATATCAACCCTGCAGGGCGTGCCGTAATCAGTAACAGAACTAACCTGATGTAGCCGAATAGCAGAGCACAGTGTTATCATGAGTGCTAGACTGGTCGTGAGCGACTACTCTAGTTCTTGATAACGTACCCCTCTGGAGGCACCCGATGGGTGAAAGCACCAACCCCCGCGCCACGCTCCGTTTCGACCGCCGTATACGGTTGGAGTTCCACGGCGCCACCATTACCTCAGACGCCGGACTGTTGGCCTGTCGCGAGTTGGATGATGCGCTGGGACTGACGGAGACGGCGAATGAGTGTCTGCAGGAGAGTCGGGGCGGTCGTAACGTGCAGCACCGATTGGTGGGCCTTCTCAGGCAGTCGGTGTACAGTCGTCTGGCGGGCTACGAGGATACCAACGACGCTGAACGGTTGTCCGACGATCCGACGATGCGTGTGATCGTTGGACGGCGAGGTGGTCCTGAAAGACCGGCCGCCAGCACCAACACCATGAGCCGGTTCGAGACCGAGGTGCTTACCCAAGACGGCAACGTGGAAGGGTTGGGCCGAGTGAACGCTGAGTGGGTGGACCGAGCGATGACGCACACGGCGCACCGGCGGGTGGTCTTGGACATGGACAGTTCGGAGAGTCCGGTGCATGGAGAACAGGAGGGAGCGTCGTACAACGGTCACTGGGAGCACGTCTACACCCTTTGTTTCGTGTTTCA